CCCCCCCCGGTTCTTGTCAGGTGGCACTGGAGATCTGCTACATTGCATCTGAACAAGCGGGTTGTAGCTATGGTTGCTGACGACTCCCAAGCTGGGAAATCCCTGACGATGTAGAGGTGGATCTTGGGGAGGGGAGGAACCTCGGTGTGGTATAATGCTATATGCTCCCACCCTCCAAAGCCTGTAGAGCATATTCTGTAGGCTGGTGGTCAGTTGTAATTATGGGAGATGTCCAGATCCCACCTGGAGGCTGGCAGGCTTCTTTCTAGTCCTCAAAAAGTGTAAAACAGTGGCTTTTAGTTTAAATCACTACCACCCACTAACTATTCAGCATTATCATCAAGTCTCCTAAGTGAGCAGTATAAAGCAACTCTCTTTCGGAGGTTGTCAAGCCATTACTAGTGGGGAGATGGGGCTGCCTAGAATCCTGAAATCCCCCTTATTCACACCCCAAAGCTCAGAATGTCTTGGAGATTTATAGATTCTCCTTGTGACCCTGTTAAGAATCCCTGAGATAACATTATGGTTCAGTCTTTAAGGTGCCCTCTAGATTCCTATTATTTTTTTAAAAAAACAAACTCCCTGGAATTAATGCAAATTCTTAGTGCTGCTGTCTGACTTGAGATAGTGCCACCGACTGATTTCCATGTTGGTAGTAAGTAGTTTTTGCAGGGGTACTTTATTAGGTTCCGTGAAAATACCTTGTATTAGGCACAACAATCTATGTATGCATCACATGTATTGAATTTGTATCTCTTGAATCTAACCTAGTTCTGTATTACCAGTGCAGTGAAAATAAAGCAGACTAGATGAGCACAGCAGTTACAGAACAAGGTTTCCGTATTAACTTCCTTCCTTCTGAATTCAACTTCTTCAGGCTTTAGTCCTGCAAAGATCCAGTATGCTAACATTACTACAGGCTTGCTGCCTTTGGTCATCTGCTGGGCTCATGCATGGATAGCAATGTGTGTGAAACCTGTTTTTTAAAATCAGTTGATACATCTTGAGAAGCATCCATGGATTAGTGTCCCCCCCCCCCCAATTGGATTAGGTTAGTAGTGGTTAGAAGGTGTGGCTAGCGTACAGGGAAAGCTTTGCTCATATGTGGGGAAGGTGTTAACTGTAATAGCCAACTGGCTTGAATGCTTTACATATTTTAGGTGTTCTGTGTTTAGCAGACAGAGATGCTTGGAGGAGGCTTCTGCTCATCTGGTTCAAAAGTGCTTTAACTATCATATTTTTTGTAACATAGGAGATAATTAAACCTTAGCTTTGATCCAGAACAGTGAAATTGTCCGTAGAATTTATTTCCCCTCTCTTTATAGCTAATGATAGGGAAAACCTGAGCACTTATCAAGTGCACTTTGCACTAGTATCAACCATTATCCCTTCCTTCATATTGCTGTTCTGTTCAACTGACTTATTGATGTGTTTGCTGAAATGCTGTGATTTTTCCGTTAGTAACCGATTAAACCCTTTCTCTGTGTGTGGATGTGTCTGCTTGTTGATGTCTTTCCCCACACTTGGACTAGCTAGGGTGAAAGGAGTCTATTGATTTGTTGCTTTTCAAGCTACTTAACCCATCTGATTTCAGCCATGGGGCTGCAGACAGTCTGTTTCCTTTTTCTTTCTAAAATGGGACCAAAGTAGCAACTTTTAGCTTTCTAAGAGATCATCTGATAGTTTGCCTGATCATTATCATACTGGAATCCTAAACAACATCTAACAAGCCTTGATGCAAGACACTCTCTTCTGCAGATTGGCTTTGTAGGAAAATGTGAGAACGTAGTATAATCTTTTCTGTCTCACTTAATTCTCATGTTTGTCTCCCCTCCCCTTTCTGCTTGCTTGCTGCTTTCATTCTCTAGTATTGGCATTTGCTATTCATTTCACCTTCTGCATCTGTGCATCTCATGGTAGGTGATAGGTTTCTTAATCTGAGATAAGCTATTTCTGCTGTATAAATGAAACTTTAATAGAACCTTGAGCAGAGCCCTGCTCAGTTTATATAGTTGATATTCATTTCAGATATATTTACATTTGGACAGGCTTCAATCTTTAACAGAAGGGCATGGATTTAACACCTTTTCTGATAACTGCTGGTTTAATTTGATAGTATAATCCAGGCTAGCCCAAACTTGTCAGATCTCAGAGGCTAAGCAGGGTTGACCCTGGTCAGTATTTGGATGGGAGACTACCAAGGAATACCAGGGTTGCTACGCATAAGCAGGCAATGGCAAACCACCTTTGAACATACCTTGCCTTGAAAACCCTACAGGGTATCCATAAGTCAGCTGCAACTTGATTGCAAAAAAATTTTTTCAGCAGCTCCAGGTGTGGAGAATGTGATGGAGACATAGCGCCCCCCCCCCCCCCCCTGATCTGGGTAGATATGCTGCATGCCCATCCTGATGCCAAAGAAGCTTTCCCCCCTTTTAAAAATAATCTGAGCTCTAAAGTAGAATAAAGGATGCAGGTGGAAAAATTAATAAATTGGCGATTGGCAAGCTTGCGTTGCTGTCACAAAGTCTCAAGTCCAGAGCAAGGAACTAGATTTTTGGGGGGGGGGGAGGGGGAGAGGAACGGTGTACTCCTACAGACAGTCTGTGAAGGATGGATATTCTAGACCTTTTCTGTTCCGAAAGAAGATGACTAAAGGAGAGACATAATGGAGATTTATAAAATTATGCATGAGGTAGAGAAAGTGGATAAGGAGTTCTCTTTTTCCCTGTCCCATAACACTACTACTTGGGGATACCCAATGGAGTTGATTGGCAATAGATTCAGGTAGGACAAAAGGAGGTACTTATCTACTCAATGAGTAATTAAATTGTAGAGTTCACAGTCAGTGGACATGGTGATGGCCGCAAGTAATGGTGTGATTCGGGTATATTGAACCCAATAAATATTGGTATTTCCTGATATTCCAGAATCCCAATACTGGTATGGAATTCAGATTCAGGAAATATTGGGGAGACTATTTTTTTTTTTTGGTTCCATTATACTCTATCGGGACTATTTTTATAGGTATAATGGAGAATCAGTCTGGGGGTATTTGGGGCTCAGGGGTCTGTTTTTTGAGGTAGAGGCACCAGATTTTCAGCATAGCTGGTTGTGCCTCTTCTCACACCCCCCCCCCCAAGTTTAAAAAAGATTAAACCAGAGGGTTCAGTTCTGTGGGCCCCCAAAGAAGGTGCCCCATCCTCCATTGATTTCAGTGGAAGGGGAAAAGGCATTTAAAGGGATTGTGGCCCTTTTAAATGCCTTTTACAAGCCGCACAACTCCACAACTTGGAGAACTCCTAAGGCCTTTATAGGGCTTGCAGTCCCTTTAAATGTCTCCCGAGTGAACAAGCCCTCGAAATGCATTTTGAGTTCTCCGAGCCATCGAATCACATGGCTCGGAGAAGGCATTTAAAGAGACCACAGTCCTTTTAGATGTCTTTTGTTTTTCTATTTGGTGGTCCCAAAAATTCTGAATATTTTCGGGGCTTGGCTGTTTTGGGTAAACAAACAGTATCTGCAGTCACTATCTGGCTGAATCAACACCCGAAAAATACCAATAAAATATTTTCCGGGTATTTTTTCGGCTCTGATTTAGCCAAATGCACATCCCTAGCCCCAAGCATGGAGGGGCAGCCCGCCAGTGGCTACTAGTCATGGTGACTAAAGGGAATCTCCATATTCAGAAGCAACACATCTCTGAAATCCAGTGCTAGGGAAGCAATATCAGGGTAGGGCTTTGGGCTCTGTGTCCTGTTAGTTGGCCTCCAGGATAGCCAATTGGCTGCTGTGTGAAACTGGATGCTGCACAAGATGGACCACTGGTCTGATCCAGCACAGGGCTCCACTTACGTTCTTATTCTTTGGAGTGTTTTTTCAAGGTAAAAGGGGCTCTTCTTTGGCAAGTGATGGGAGAAGACCCAGAATATAAGAGAATGCCATTATTTATTTATTTAAATTTATGGGCCACCCTCCCCCATATACAGGGCTCAGGGTGGGGAGCAACATTTCCCATAGCAACATGCACCATCGGGTTAAAATTAAAAAACTTAAAAAGTTAAAAATCAGGTTAACAATTTAACTGACAATTTACAGATGGTGCATAAAACAGACAATTTAGTGTCCTTTTCCCCATAGAGGGGACATGTGACAAACTGAAAAGTTATAGCTGGAATGAAAATTGGTGGGAGGAATGCCTTCACTCATCAGTTAAAATCAAGTTCATGTTGCCTGGAATATAAGAATTTTTATTGCAAAAAAAGAATAAGAAGGCTACTCCAATTGTTAACCAAACCGATTTTGTTTCTGATAAGGGAGGTGATAAACCACCAGTGCCATGAGCAGAACAGGCTTTAATGAGCCAAGGTGTCTATAGGTGGCTGCTTTCCTCAAGTTGGGGCTGAAGCACTGAAGAGGAGGAAGGGAAATGGAAGCTACCTATCCACAGAAGTAGCCTTTCCTTTCTGTGGTAGTTATGACATTTGTGGGCAGAATGGTTTGATGTCTTTCTTTTTCCCCAGTGAGCTGAATGTTATTCCCCCCCCCCCCTTTAAAGTGTGGATCTGGGAGGTACCTGCAAAATTTGCTGCACAGCATGTTCGTTTTGAGGCAGAAGCTTTCTTGCCCCTTTCTCCTTTAGGCCAACCCATACTAGCCCTGCAGGATAATAGTCCTTATGCATTCACAGACTTTCCCTGTCTGGCCAACGCTAAATGCATTTTGAATTTATCTAGAGCTCGGAGCTCTTCACGCTGACTTATGGGGCACTGGTCACTCAGCTCTGTAAAGACTACGAGAACGATGAGGACGTCAACAAGCAGCTTGATAAAATGTAAGGGAACAAGCAGTTGGCAAGCTCTAATCTGGCTGGGACAGGGGTCTGGGGGGCATTCTGCTGGACACTTAGTGCATTGTTTTTATAAGAGAGAAAATGCATGAACGTTCTCTCCCCTCCCACCCACCAATATTTTGAATATTCTTCCTCAAGGCTGAGGATCTCTTGTGCTGTTGGGTTTTATTGCTTGCTGCTGTTTGGCTCTCTCAACAGGGGCTACAACATAGGTGTTCGACTCATAGAAGACTTCCTGGCCCGATCCAATGTGGGGAGATGCCACGACTTCCGAGAAACTGCAGATGTCATTGCAAAGGTAACACCTGGCCTTGATTATGTTCCTTTGTGCCAAGTATGTTTCACCATTAAATATATTTGAGATTTCTGCTGTGAATGTCTAATACAGAAATTTATTTATGAGGACTGCGGTGGCTCAAGTGGTTAAGACGCTGAACTGCAGGCTGTGGAAGGACAGTAGTTCAGTTTGAGACCCGGGTGCCGCATGATGGAGTGAGCTCCCATCTCTAGTTCCAGCTCCTGCCAACCTAGCAGTTCAAAAGCAAGAAATTGCAAGTAGATAAATAGGTACCACTTTGGTGGGAAGGTAACAGCGTTACATGCGCCTTGGTGTTTAGTCATGCCGACCACATGACCACGGAAACGTCTTCAGACAGCGCTGGCTCTTCGGCTTTGACACGGAGATGAGCACCGCAACCCTAGAGTTGGATTTGACTGGCTTTCGAGCAAGGGAACCTTTATCTTTACCTTTTTATCCTGCCCTACCCCTTAAGCGGACTCAGAGTGGCTTACATCATAATACACAATAAAGCAATTCCATAAAAGCATTAGCACATTAAAATTCTAACAGAGTTAACATTTAGGAGACCAATTTAAAAGACCTGATGGTGATTAGTTTCATTCCAGTATGTGCTAGATCCAGTTTCGTTCCAGTACATGCTAGAAATTTAGTTCCTGCTGCCAGGCATTTTATTGTGTGATGTTTCTTATCATATAGAACAGTAGAAACTCCTTGTATGCAGTGCAATCCAGAAGCATGCATGGTGTGCCTAACTCATTTTATGTTCCATTATTCCTGCAGCCAAGCCCTAGATTGCTTGAGAGTTTAGAAAGAGTTTGATGTGAGAGCTAATGACAGCACACATGTACTAAAGCAGTTTCCCTTATTTCCTCCAGTCCCTGTAAACTTGGATTTTACAGCTGGGAGCTGCTGTTAGGGAAGTATGTGAAAACAGCTTTTACTCCATATGCCTCTTGATGATCCCTGGGAGGGGGTGTTATCCCCGTGGGGAGGACGGGGTATAAATCAGAAAAATAAAAATAAACAAATAAACAATCAGTATAAACAATCAGTATTGCATTCAGCCTAAAGGGAAGGTAGCTTTGTCATTTACCCCAGCCGGGTCTATCTTACAAGTCTGGGTATAAGCTTTTCCAGCTAGTACTTGAAAAGCAGTTCCTTGTGCACAAGCAGAAAACTGGGATGAGAGGCAACACAAATATGGAATTTGGGCATATTAGACTAGTGGATGGAGCATGACACTTGGCCTCAGAGATGAGTTCACAATCCTGACCAACCATGGATTTGTCCAACTGTATTGATATACATCAGCAGCTTCTGGCAGTTTGATTGGCTTATTCAAGTCCCACGTAATATGTAACTGTGACTTCTGGTTTGTTAGCAACATGAAAAGAGTTGTGGCGCAACTGAATTTAATTCCTAGAAACTGTAAAGCCAGCTCGCATCAGATGTTTTCTGTTAACTTAATCAGCAACCAAGAGAAATCAAAATTGCTTCTACTGGTACAGCACATGACTCAATTGTTCCTGAACCGTTTTCAAGACAAGACATCATTGTGTCTGTTGTAGAGAACCTGCTTCTTATACGATGGGTCCCTCATTGTCCATCTTAACGATGTAAACCAGGGTCCCCCAACCTTTTTTGAGCAGGTACCTTTGGAATTCTGACAGGGGGTGGGGGTGGCTAGAACGACAAATGGCTGCTGTAGGAGGCAGGACCAGCCACAAAATGCCTGCCATAGGAGGTGGAGCCAACCATCAAATGCCAGGGAGTGAGGTTATACCCCAATAGTAAGTTTTCAACATTTCAGGCAGAAGCTCTGTTTAACAGGATGCCTTTTAAGTTGAACGTTCTGTTTAAAACTATTCTCTTGCATACACGGAGCTTAACTTCAGTCATGCAGTGATGATCCTTGTGCTGCAGTGGCAGCTGCTGCAAAAGTAATGTTTTTGAAAATCTGTACAGCCAATCAGAAGCCCTGTCCACTTCCTAAAAACACTAGGCAGGCACCATGTTGAGGACCCTTGATGAAGACAGTGGTTTGCATCAAAAATTTCCAATTTCAGTAGTTGCCACTAAGCTTCTTTTTCTGGTCATTTGATGGTTCACTGGGCAGCAGCACCCTAAACATGGCACTGTCAGAGTCCAGTCCTTGCCTCATATTTGTCTTGCTTGACAGGTGGCCTTCAAAATGTACTTGGGCATCACCCCGAGCATCACAAACTGGAGCCCGGCAGGTGACGAGTTCTCCCTCATCATCGAAAACAATCCTCTGGTGGACTTTGTGGAGCTGCCCGATAACCACTCGTCTCTTATTTATTCCAACCTCTTGTGTGGAGTGCTGCGGGGAGCCCTGGAAATGGTGAGGAGGGAAAGATGGTGGAGGAAGCAGTGGCTGTAGTTCTTTCTGTGTGGGAAAGGACATGTTGGAGTGAATGAAATAGCAGTACATGCGTGTCTTCTGTATCCTGTCAAAACACCCACACTATGAGCATCAGTTATGCATATGATCCTGTTTGGGAGACCTCATCTCTTTTCAACATTCAGGTGTTCAAAGAATTTGGATTAGTTTTTTTATAACATATGAAATGGTGTCTAAGGAAGTAAGAAGGAAGGGAGGGGAGGGCACAATGATCAGGGTTAGAATGGTCATCCATAATAGCCAAATGAGAAGGAGATTGCAAGAGCACTGTTCCTTGATCAATAGAAATATGCTCACCTGAAGTTAGTCCTCTAGTGTTCACTGTACAGTTTCTTCACATGTTCTGGTCTGCTGTCCTTGCTGCTTTATCTTTTTATCGTATACCCTTGACCACCAGGATCCTTTGGCTAGTAAAGCCCACCATATTCTGTGCTTGCAAAAAAGCTGATGACCTTTATTTATTTTATCTATTATTTAATTTGTTTAATTTCTAACCCGCCCTCCCCACTGTGGAAGGCTCAGGGGAGCTTACATGGCATAATAAACAGCTAAAACAAATATAGATAAAATCACAAACAGTATAAATATAAAAACATTACAAAGTGCTAGTGCTAGATGGTTCATATACGATGCCAGACATAAGCAGCATCCGACAAAACAATCAGCTACCATTGTAGTCTGAGTTACGCAGGCTGTTAATAATGATGTAAATGTTGATGTTGGTATTGGGGCTAGGGCCTCAGTTTGTACGATGCAGCTCCCTAGTCGAAGGCTTGGTGGAAGAGCTCTGTCTTACAGGCCCTGCAGAATTGTAAATGGTCCCGCAGGGCCCTGATGTCTTCTGGGAGCTCATTCCACCAGTGCGGAGCTGCCACTGAAAAGGCCCTGGCCTTCGTCACAGCCAGCCTGACATCTCTGAGGCCCGGCAGAGCCAGATGATTTTGGGACCCTGATTGTAGGGCTCTCTGGGGAACATGTGAGGAACTGCGGTCCCTTAGGTATGTAGGTCCTTCACCATATAAGGCTTTAAAGGTGGGAACCAGCACCTTGAACCAAATTTGGTATGCTATGGGCAGCCAGTGCAGTGCCTTTAGCACAGGTTGGATGTGCTCCTGCATGGGGAGGCCCAACAACAGCCTGGCCACCCATTCTGCACCAGCTGCAGCTTCCGGATTTGGGACAAGGGCAGCCCCATGTAGAGAGCATTACAGTAATTAATTCAGTCTTGAGGTGACCATTGCAGGGATCACTGTTGCCGGGTCATTGCGTTCGAGGAAGGGAACCAACTGCTTAATCAGCCGAAGGGGATAAAAGGCTGACTTAGCAGTGGCTGCTACCTGAGCCTCCATCGTTAAGGAGGCATCCAGGAGCACTCCCAAACCTCTGACCTCCAGCACTGGCAGCAACGGCACCTCATTGAAGGTTAGGAGTGGGATCCCTACCCCTGGGCCACTCCGACACAGGCACAGGACCTCCGTCTTCGTTGAATTCAGTTTCATAGTTTTCAACGCCAGGTCCAGATCTTCCAGACTAGAGTCAGACTGGCCGCCCAACAACAGATAGAGCTGGGTGTCGTCTGCCCATGTCTCTTGGCAATTTGGGCAAGGGGGCACATACAGATGTTGAATAGCATTGGGGAAAGCACCGCACCTTGGGGCATACACTCAGCTCTTGTGTTTTTATGCACGGTTTTTGCAGGTGATGTGCATGTCTTTCTGGAAAGAACAGTGTCTGCTCTAAACTTTTATGGAATGGAAGTGTGGAACAGAGGATGGGAAGGAGGGCATTAATTTCTGTCTCCTTCAGTTCTTTCATGTTTGGCCATACTTGCTTGGCAGAATATTGTGGTGGGACTACAGTTAATCAAGAATTGGCACAGTGTTGTGAAAAATCCATTAACATTTCCTGTTCTGTACTACTTGAATGGTAGATGGCAAGGGTGGTAATGAGAGGGAGTAACCAGCAACCCTTTTGTACAGTAATGCAAGAGGATTTCCCTTGTCCTCTATCTTCAGTGCAGCTTCCAGATGTGCTAGGTTGTCTTGTGGGATGTTCTAGTTGCGTGTCTGTTTCTTTTTACACCGCAGGTTCAGATGGCTGTTGATGTCAAATTTGTCCAAGACACATTGAAAGGAGATGGAGTCACAGAAATCAGGATGAAATTTATCAAGCGGATTGAAGACAATCTCCCTGCGGGAGAGGAATGAGTCCAAGGGCAGCCTCCCTGTTGAACTGGAGGGGATGAACTGCCCACCCGGGATTTGTAGGCACGTCATGCCTTCTGTTACGTTCAGATGCCCAGTTTGGTTCATTAAGATGTTGTTCTACATTATTTCCTTAGGAAGCAACTGTTTGACTTGTTCTGTTTTATTTTCACCAGATTTGTATAAAAGGCCTTCGTAACCTACAAAATATTTTTCATACTCCTCAAAGAAAACGAATACCCATTTGTAGCTTCTATGTTTTGGCTTCACACTAATCAGCAGGACTGTTAAAGCATTATAATTTTGATCCTGAGCATAGAAGTCAGATACCAGTTAAAGATACTACTTACTTTGTGGTAGAAGAAGCTTATCAGTACATTCTCTCTTCAACTTCCTGCCCATAGGTGTGTGGGCAGAATGTGCATATGTCTATGGGAAGCAGGAAGCCATTTCTAGATTGCAAGGAGTGCAGTCTGTAACTGGAAATTACCTGGGGTTGCTAGTGGAACTCATTCGGTAACTCATTCAGTGCTGCTGCTTTAGTTGTGCAGTATAGGAAGAAAAGTTATGTTTCACTTTAGGTATATCCTTTCTGTTTCCAACACTGAAACAAAGTAAGAGTCCTGCACTCATGCAAAAGACTCCTAGTGGCATTCTTGTGTGAATGATCTTTCTGTGGGTGTTCTTCAGTGTTGTACAAAATGGTGCTTGAACGCTCTGTTGTCTTCAGCCCATCTTGTCTAATCGACTGGAGACCCTCAAGGAGATTTGGCAATTGCACGCTTTCTTAGTTTGCAATTTTGCTTTTCAAATAATGTTGGAAATGTCTTTCAAGGCATAATCATTTGAGCAGATAAATTCAGGAGATGGGTTTTTAAGCTTAGAGCAGGCCTGATTTGTATAATTAATTGACTAAATAGTTAAAACACATTTTCTTCTCTTTTTTTTTTATGGATGGGGCCCATCTGGGAACATGCCACATTATTGTGTAACGACGGAGTCAAGGCATTCAACTTGCTTCTCACAGTTTGAAGGCGGGGGTCTTGAGGCTGCAGGTCTTGGCACCCCTGGGGTCCTGGGAGGCATGGGTAAGGGTGGGTAAGGATGGATGGGGCCCGTTTGGGCACATGCCACTTTATTTTGTAACAACAGAGTCAAAGCATTCAACTCACTGCCCTCTGTGCATGTATGCTCCCATATTACTGCATCCTCTGGTAGCCAAATGCTCCCCCAAGCCCAAAAGAATTATGGAGATGAGCGTGGAAGGAGAGGGAAGCATTGCTCTGCATGTTTAATTCTTTGTGGCCTTCTGTGGCGAAGTCTGACATGAGTGATGGCAGACGTTCTGTGGGTGTGCAGTGCTCCATAGTGGTACTGACTTCTGGGCGGTACTGTTCAGTCCTTCTCACAGTTTGAAGGCAGGGGGGGGTCTTGAGGCTGCGGGTCTTCTTGGCACCCCTAGAACTGCCAAAACACGTTTTCTTTGTGAATTACCAGCCGTTCGTTCTGAATGGTTGTGTTTGGCTTTTCAGTGCTGAGAAGCTAATCTTGGTGTCTTTTGGGGGGATTGGTGGGGGTGGAGTAGCAGTCTGGAGGCCAGTTCTCTTCCAGAAGGTTATAGAAAGAAGCTCTTGATCTGATTGATTCACGTGAGGCTGTGTGCTAATGCTTGTGTGCAGGGTGGGTGCAGGAAGCACTTAAGATTTGTTTTGAACAGGGAAAATCAACATGAATTTCACTAGTGAATTACATTAGAGAATGAAATTGTGCTTACAGAGGAGATCATTCTCTTCAGGCAAGATATGTAATGCTTTCCTTCCAAATCCAGCAGTTATGTGTGTCTATAAGAAAACTTTTAGGTTAGAATTGGAATGTCCACCTTCCTTAATGAAGCACGGTGTGCTGTGTGATCCTGGTCCCTATCTGGAGTCCCAAGATACAACGAGCAGAAGCTGACATTTGTAGTCTGCAGCACACAGAGCTGAGTGTAAAATTGTAAGAGTGATGAATCAGTGAAGTGTGGAGAATGGATTGCAGGATTTACACACATAATTATCAAGCATCTTGTTAGACATTGCAGGCCTGTGCGGCAAGCGAGTTTCAGTGAAGGTGGTTCAGATTAATTAATTTTTGCTTTGTGAAAGAGTGAAGCAAGTTATATAGGATGTGGGAGAATGGGACTTGGACTGATGTTTCAGTGAAGTGTTTTCTAAACAGCTTGATAATCCCATGTTGATGATAGTTTCTTGCTCATTTCTGATAGATCTTTCCCAGAATTCTGCTCTTCTGACCTGGACTGGCTTTTGTCATATTAATGTGTGGGTTACTGAAGAGGTGGTGAATCAGGAATTTCTGAGATAATTATAAAATGTCGTCTTGCCCTGTAATATTTAAATCCTGTATCTGCTCAATAAAAAGCCAAAATTTCTGGTCTCTAAAGGCATTCCTACAGTGAGAGGAAAGATCCAGCACCACCTAAAACAGCATCCCTTTCTGATTCCTTTTGTGATCTTTTGAATCTCATTTGAGAACTGTTGCAGTGAGTGATATCTGGTGGGTGAATGGGTATCGGATGTATATAATTGAAACATTTTGTTATGTAAGGGGTTATTCATGCATTTTCCATTTGTAAAGCATTTGAAGGCAACATTTTAAACTATTACATTAAAATAAAGTATAACTATCTTCTTAATTGTCTTGCTGAGGAGCATAGACTATGGAAGGGGTCTGGGGGGGAGGGTACATGGTGGATAACTCAGGAAAACAGCAAAATGTTTTGGCTTTTGCACTCTTGGCTGCTGAGACCACACAACATACTCAGGAACGTTTCATAGAATCATAGAACGTTAGACTTGGAAGGGACCCTGCAGGTAATCTAGTGCAGCCCCCTGCACTCTGCAGGAGCATAGCCAAAAGATAGCCCTACAACATATCCGAAAGATGGTCTTCCAGCCTCCGCTTGAAAATGTCCAGCGAAGGAGCATCCACCACCTCCCGAAGCAGTCTGTTCCACTGGCTCAACCACTCTTACAGTTAGGAAGTTTCTCCTGATATTTAGCCAGTAAAGGCTCCCTTGTAATTTCCACCCATTAGATCTAGTCTTGCAATCCGGAGCAAGAGAGAATAGATCTGCTCCATCTTCTACATGACAGCCCTTCAAATTCTTGAAGACTGCAATCATGTCCCCTCTAAGCCTTCTCTTTCCCAGGCTAAACATACCCGACTTTTTTAGCCTTTCCTCATAAGACTTGGATTCTAACACCTTCCCCCAATCACCCTTAACAAGTAAGCCTCTGCAGGGGCTTGCCACTTGTGAAAATGGTGATAGGTATTATACAAGGTGACGCAACCCACCTGACAAATTAGATACTGTATCTTAAATGCAAAGTGATGCTTTCTAGGATGACCAGTCAAAATGACACAGAATGGTTGTGCAAGCTTTCAGCTTCTCCGGATCTCGTTATCAAGCTGGGTGTTGAAGTTGGGGGAGATGTTTCAGTCAATGATCTTGAAGCCCTGTTGTCTGTCTGTCCCTGTTTAGAATGTCCTGCAGATGTCATGGGTGCTAGGTGGAACTGGTAACCAGGTGAGCAGGGCTGCCTGCCATGAATTAAAACCTTGTGGTGAGGGAAGTTTCTATTCCCTGGTTGTACCCTTAACTCCAATTCCATGCAGGATGAGAAACAGCTTGTTAGGATTCAGGGACTGCCTTGGGGAAACTACAATGATTCTTTATGTGAGCAGTACCATGCAGTGAACCAGTATGGCCAAAGCCACTACTTGACAACATTGTACCATTGAATCAGGAAGTCTAAGCAACACTAATTAGCATGGGATGCAGTCATAACACAAGTCTTTCTGTGCAAATCCCACTGAAATGAGCAGGAGATGCACAAGAGCAGTGCATGTTCTTGAGTACCACCCTGTTCATTTACAGGGTGCTTGCACAGGTAAACATGTTGCCTGGGATCTACCTGTTTCCCCACTCTGCCAGACTTTATGGTGACAGATGTCTGCCTTCTGGGGGAGCCACCTTATCTTCCATTTAAAAAGCATATTTGTGTTCTTGCTGTTCTTAAATTACCTGGAAGTATGATTGGGTGCGTCCAGTGCGTCATCCAAACACTCTCCAGATAGTTTGGACTAGGAGTGTGCAAAAAAAAAAAAAAATTCGGTAAAATTTGGATTCGGATATATTGAACCCTTTTTTGAAGGGGGGGGGACCCAAAAAACCCCGAATATCTATACCGGTAAAGCATGGATATCCGAAATTTTTTGGAATTCCTAAAAAAGTTGTGTCCATTATATTCAATGGAGCCATTGAAGTCAATGGCGAAAATCTTCTGAAAAGTTTGCAGGGGGCTGAGGTGGAGGGGGTTTGAGGTAGAGGCTCCAAATTTGGACTGTAGCTGCTGGAGCCTCTCCCCAAAAGACTCCCAAAGTTTTCTAAAGTTTGGACCAGGGGGTCCAATTCCAGGGTCATCCAAAGAGGGTACCCTCAGTTCTCCATTGTTTCCTATGGAAAGTTGGGGATGGGAAAAAGGCAAGCAGATCTCCCTGTAAGAAACTAAGTGAAGTGTGTGGTGGTGGTGAGAGGGGGCATGTTTGCCAGGCCAGCAGTAGAACCTGTGCAATGTGCCCCCCAGAACTAGTGCCACTGTGCCAGTCAGTGCCCCAAACCCAACTTGACTCAGTTCAAACCAGAGAATCTCTGCACCATTCTGCAGCATACATAAACTAAGGGAGCATGTTTACATTGCCAGCCTGAGCCAAGCCAGCAGCAGAACCAGAGCAATCTGCCCACCCCCCAACCTGTGCCACTGTGCCAGTCACTGCCCAAACCCAACAGAACTCAGTTCAGACCAGAGAATCCCTGCAGCATAAGAGGAATGGGTTGCTCCCACTTTGCCAGCCAGGCCAGCAGCAGAAGAACCAGTGCAACTGCCCCCCCCCAACATGTGCCACTGTGCCAGTCAGTGCCCAAGCCCAACTGGACTCAGCTCAGACCAGATAATCTCTGCATCTGCAGCATACATAAACTAAGGGAGCATGTTTGTATTGCCAGCCAAGCCAGCAGCAGAACCAGAGGAATCTGGCCAGCCCCGTAGCTAGGGAATTTTTTGAGAGGGGGCCTCAGGTGGGGCGCCAGCTAATTAAATCAAAGCACAATGCAGATGGCAAGTTGGGGCACTTTGGGGGTGGCCCGGGAAGGAGGGGGCCCAGAAGAAAGACTAGGGGGCCGGGCCCCGCGGTAGCTACGGGCCAGAATCTGCCCACTCCCCACAACCCTTACCACTGTGCTAGTCAGTGCCCAAACCCAACTGACTCAGTTCAGACTAGAGAATCCCTGCACTGCAGCATAAACTGAGCAGGGCGGGCAGGACCTGTGCAAGTTAGTAATCACTAGGGGTGTGCTATTCGGCCCAACAAAGAGACATGTCAGATCCAACCCTGAGTTTGAGATCTCTGCGGCCAGAGTCATAGAATCATAGAGTTGGATGGAAGGGATCTCCAGGTTCATGTAGTCCAACCCCCTGCACATTCCCTACAATGATTTGTCCAAAAACTATGGCTTGGTAGGAACGCGGCCCACTTCGTCTGATACTTGAAGTGTCACATCTTATTAGCACAGAAGGTGGCTCTTCGGTCATCCAGCTAAGCAAGCAGCCTCTGTCGCCTGTCAGCTTATGTCCAAAAAATACTCATGTCAGATAACCAGAGGACTGCTGCAGCATAAGAGGAATGATTTGCCAGCCAGCCTAGCAGCAGACCTCTGCAGCATATAAACTGAGGGGGGCAGGCAGGACCTGTGCAAGTTAGCAATCATTAGGGGTGCGTGATTCCCCACTCAGCACGTTACCAGAGGCAAAGGGAGGCCAGGGGAAACCCAAACGGGCCTAAATTATGGGTTGCCAACTCTCCAGGGGTGTCCAAAGATTGAGGTACCCCCTTTCCTAAATTGGGGGATCAGCCAGAGGAGTCTCACTGTCCCTCTAGGAAGACGGTGTGAATCCAGTGAGTGGTGGCAGCGACTAAGGAAGGAAAATAGCCCCACCAGATAGGGTGGGCACTGGGCAGGCAAAAATGGGCTTGCGTGAGCCACAGAACAGCTGCTCAGTCTCCCAGGGCTGAGGGTGGGTCCCCGTTCCCCACAATGCAGGAAATTCACAACTACCTCTCCCCGACATCCCCAGTGGCCCCTTCTCCATGCCTAGAAGGTGACTAACTTCTAGCCTAGCCTGTTTTGGAAACCCAAAGGTGCCCAAAGGCTGAAAAAGATTTGGGACCCCTGTTCTAAACAATGATTTGCCAAAAAACATGGCTTGGTGTGACTGAACGCAGCCCACTTTGTCAGATGCATGAAGTGTCACCTCTACTTAGCACAGAAGGTAAGATTTTATGCATCAGGACAAGCAAGCAGCCTCTGTGTCATAAGAGGAAGGGTTTGCCAGCCAGGCCAGCAGCAGAACCAGTGCACGGTGGGCCCCACAACCTGTGCCAACTGGCCCTCACAACAAATGAGTTTGACTGACATCTCTGTGGCCAGAGCCATAGAATCATAGAGTTGGAAGGACCCTCCAGGGTCATCTAGTCCAACCCCCTGCACATTCCCTAAACAGTGATTTGCCCAAAAACTGTTGCTTGGTGTGAGCGCGGACTACTTTGTCAGATGCATGAAGTGACACCTGTAGGTAGCACAGAAGGTGTGGTTTCATGCACCCAGACCAAGTGAACTGCCTCTGTTTCATCATTAGCTTACATCCAAAAAATACTCAGGTCAGACAGCCGGAGGACCGGCCTGTTGCAGCATAAGAGGAATGATTTGCCTGCCAGCCCAGCAGCAGAACCAGTGCATGGTGGCTCCCACAACCTGTGCCACTGTGCCAGTCACTGCCCAAACCCAAATGGACTCAGGTCAAACCAGAGGACCTCTGCAGCATATAAACTGAGGGGGGCAGGCAGGACCTGCGCAAGTTAATAGTAATCACTAGAGGTGTGAACGCAGCCCACTTTGTCAGATCCACGAAGTGTTCATCTAGTTAGCATAAAAGGTGACTCTTCATGCATCTGTCCAAGCAAGCAGCCTCTCTCTCGTGATCATCAGCTTACCCAGGTCAGACCAGAGACTCTGTCCTGTTCCATGCCCAGAAGACGATTAGCCTGTTTTGGAAATCCAAAGGTGCCCACTGCCCACAGGCTAAAAAAGATTTGGGACCCCTGCTCTAAACAATTATTTGCCCCAAAACCATGGCTTGAACGTGGCCCACTTCATCAGATGCATGAAGTGTCACCTCTACATAGCACAAAAGGTGAAACTTCATGCACTAGGCCAAGTGAGCAGCCTCTGTCCTGTCAGCTTACATTGCGCAACCAATGAGTTTGACATCTCTGTGGCTAGTAGAATCACAGAGTTGGAAGGGACCTCCAGGGTCATCTAGTCCAACCCCCTGCACATTCCCTAAACAATGATTTGCCCCAAAACCATGGCTTGGTGTGAACATGACCCACTTCGTCTGATGCATGAAGTGTCACCTCTATGTAGCACAGAAGGTGAAACTTCATGCAGGAAGCCAAGCAAGCAGCCTCTGTCTCATCACGTCAGCTTATGTCCAAAAATACTCAGGTGAAGGTCAGACAACTGTTCTAATTTGCCCCCCCAAACCA